CTAAAAGGGTGTCTGGGGGCCATACTCTCGAGGTTTCTCCAGTCTCCTTTAGGCCAGTAAATCTGGTCTTTTTTTTTTTTGTGAGTTAAAGCTGAGGTACCTTTTAAACATCCTGGTAGGATTATCCATAGGTCTGGGGCTCACTGAGGAGCTCCTGGCTGGGGGCGAATCTGTGGCTCCCTGACATTGAATAATAACTGATAACTTTTCGGTAGAGTAAAAAGAAGCCTGGGGCTGCCCCCAGGTGGTAGGGAAGGAAGAGTGGTCAGTAGGGAGGAAATCCCAGGGGCCGTGTGGTGTCACAGAAGCAGAAAAGCATTAAGGTGTATTTTGAAACGGCAAAAGAAACATGAAGTGGGCATGGAGTCACTTTCATTCCGTCCTTGTGCTTCTGACTGGTCCCTGTGGTCTGTGCCACTGTAGACAGCCCCACAGGGCTGAAGGAGTTCTCTGGTGGGCTGCAGCCCCGGGGTGCGGTGTGTTCTCTCCAGACCCCCACCTGGCCCTGTTAGAGTCCGTTTTTGTTAGAGTTCCTGGGGTTCTTGGAGCTGAGTAAAACTGGGTCTCGGCAGGACAAAAGAGCCTTTCCGCCTCTTTTCCTGTCTTTCCGCTCCTCCCTTCCCAGCAGGCGTTTAGGAACACTCCGATGATGGGCCCTGCTCCTTCCTGGGTAAGGGGAGGCCGGCACAGGGCATGGGGATCAAAGAGGACTGTTCTTAAAAGGAGACTGTAGCCATATTTTATTTGTGAAATTAAAAACAATATATGCATGGGTGGAAAGACTTAGAAGCAAATATGCTAACACTTTTTCTTCTTGCATTCTTGTTTTCCTCATATCCACGCCCAAGCCACAGCAGCAGGTAGCTGCTTCTCTCAACATGGCCCTCTTCTAACCAGATCTCTGTTACCAGGAGGAGATGGAAGCCATCTGTCATTCTGTTTGAGGATGCCACGTCTAGCCGAGTTCAACAGTGGCCCCCAATCACTCTTGGAGCCACTGTGACTGCCTTCTCTCTCCAGCGTCGCTGCTCAGCCCGTTGCTGCCTTCCACGTAGACAAAATGTTCAGCCCCCGCTTCCAGAGGCTTCTAAGCAAAGAGAAATTGCTGATCCTAAAAAAGCCTGGGGTTTGATGAAGTGCTCAGTGCTAAGTGCCTCCCTTATCCTCCAATTTCCAGATCAAAGTCAAATCTGTTCTCAGAATGTTGGGGCTCCACCTCTGAGCTCTTTTTTTTAGCAATTTGCTTATGTAAAGAAACCATTGTCTGTCTGCCCACAGTCTCTGTATTCCTTTGTAGAATTTGGAGAGTATACAGACAGGTTCACTCAGACACAGTCCTTTAAAAATCACATTAGATCATTGAGATACTTATCAAAACCCTACTATGCGCAAAGGCCCTCAGCTGTTTAAATTGACATTGCATCTGGTGGCAGCTGGCCCTTACATACCAGTGATGCCCAGCATGGCTTCAGACCCATCCAGGGCCATTGGTGCAGCTGTCAGGCTTTGATTCAGGCCATCGGGTGGAAATCCCGACTCCAGATGTCCTGATGGACCAGTGACCCAGGGCACACCACTTCATCTGGCCAGACCTCCATCCTCATCCGCAGAATGCAGATAGTAACTAAGGGTCTGGCGCAGAGGCTGCACACGGGAACCCACATCTGTTTGTAACCACAGCAACTGGCAAAGCCAGATATCTTTCCTTGGGTTTTCTGTAACATTGAAGTTCCAGGCAGCCTGGGCTGTAATTTAAACTTGGAGTCGTTCGTGGCCTCACCATCTCGCCTTTGAGATGTGGAGGGAGCCCTCTAGCCATCACAGGAAGGATGGGCCTTAGGTCTGAGACTGCCAGAACGTGGCAGCTCTCCTGGGGCCTGCAGTTTTTACAGAAAAAGCAATATTTTTCGTGCTTGCCCTTACAAACATTTTGGCCCATTAGTTAGAATCCTGGAGGGGCGCTGTTGTTTGTAAAGACTTGACCACTTTTTAAAGTAAGAGAGCCATGTTTGGGTATACTGAGTTAACATACTTTTAGGTTGTTATGCCCAGTGATGGCATGGATGCATTGTGCTCTGATAGACAGCTGGTGGCATTAGAATCAGGGCAGCCCTTAGAAAGCAAATCTGCTCCCAGGAAGGGTTTAAACAGAAAGGTTTAAATCTTTTCTATTTTGATTTAGTAATATCACTTCTGGAAATCTTTCTGAAGAAATTAACCCAAAATAGAGGAGGGCTATTACACACGAAGATGTTTGTCATAACCTGAATTATAACGACAAAGAGTAGAAGCACTAAATTGTCTGATAACAAAAAGATTTTCAAGTAGATGGTGGGACAGCTGCTTAATGAAATATTTTGCAACCATTAAAAGCAATGGTTATATGGGGACGTTAGCTCAATTGGCATAACATAGGTTTTAAAGAAAATGTTATGCATCCTACCTTGGTGAGTAGCATCTGGGGTTTTAAAATCTTGTGAGTGGCCATCTAAGCTCTGTCTACTGGTCCTACCCCATCTGGAGCAAGGGAGAATGAAGAAAACAATAGACACAAAGGAAAGATTAGTCCAAAGGACTAATGGACCACAATTACCACAGCCTCCACCAGACTGAATCCAGTACAACTAGATGGTGCCCAGCTACCACCACCGACTACTCTGACATGGATCACAATAGAGGGTCCCAAACAGAGCTAGACATAAATATAGAACAAAGTTCTAACCCACAAAAAAAGACCAGACTTACTGGCCTGACAGAGACTGGAGAAACCCCAAGAGTACGGACCCTGGGCACTCTTTTAGCTCAGTAATGAAATCAGTCCTGAGGTTTACCCTTCAGCCAAAGATTAGATAGGCCTATAAAACAAACAATATCACATGTAGTTCAACCATATATACGAGACTAAATGGGGACACCAGCCCAGGGGCAAGGTCAAGAAGGCAGGAGGGGATGGGAAAGCTGGACAAATGGAAATGGGGAACCTGAGGTCGAGAAGGGAAGAGTGTTGACATGTTGCGGGGTTGGCAACCAATGTCACAAAGCAATATGTGTATTAATTGTTTAATGAGAAACTAATTTGCTCTGTAAACTTTCACCTAAAGCACAATAAAAAAAGAAAATTGTTATGAAGACTGTGCAGCAGCATGGATGGATGATGCTTAAGTGTCAAAGCAGTACCCCTGATAATATGCACAACAGAACTATAACTTCATAAAATATGCATGGAATCAGAAACCCATGTGAAATTGTGCACTACAGATTAGTAAATAAGCACAAGTAAGCCCGTGCATACCTTGCTTACTGGGTAATCCATCCCTGATTCTACTCTGACACACACGGAGTTGCCATGAGTTGGAGTAGACTGGGTGGCAACTGGTTTTCAGTGGCGTTATGTTGAGCTGCGAACCCAGCGTCCCCACTGTACTGCGTGAAAGAGGCAGGCATCCTTCCCTTCCTCCTCAGCTCTCTTAGGAAGGCGCTGAGGTCACCACGAGCAGACAGGTGAGCACACTCTGCCTGCCAAGTAGAGAGCCTTCGCTGTTGGTGTGGCTCGTGGGATCTGAGCTGGGACCTGGGGCTGGAAGGGCCTGGATACCCCAGCTTCACTGTGTTTCAGATATGTGGTGGCGGTTGTGAAACTCACCGCCAGGACGGAGTCGTTTCCAGCAAATGGAGAACAATAACCGGGATGATCTAAGTAGTGTCATTGCTGGTGCCACCTGCTGGGGTGGAGGTGTGTGAGCAGCAGGGCTCTCACAGCTGACTGTTTAAGGATTGCTGTCTTGTCTCTTCCCTCCCCTGCTCCCCCTTTGCCAGAGTCAGATGGAGTTCAGCATCTCCTCTTTGTCGGTCCAAGACCCAGGCAGCACCACGCAGGCCCTCAAGTCCTCCCAGGGCAGCAAGCCCCCTGGCCCAGATGCTCTGGGGCCCGTGCGGAAGGAGGAGGAGGCCACCTTCTGGAAGATCAATGCCGAGCGGTCCCGGGGTGAGGGGCCTGAGACAGAGTTCCAGTCGCTGACCCCCAGCCAGATCAAGTCTATGGAGAAGGGGGAGAAGGTCGTGCCTGTGTGCCATCGGCAGGAGCCTGCCCCGAAGGACAAGGAGACCCAGGCTGAGCGGCCCAGCGGCCCACGGCAGGAGCTGTGCGACCTCTCTGGCGTGTGGGCCGAGCGAGAGAGACCTCTGCTGATGCAGGTATCCGCCAGCCCACCTAGGGAGGCTGGCCCTGCTGAGCCCGAGGGGAAGCCGTCTGCCCCTGATGCCATCCAGGAGGACGCGGAGGATGTTCTGTTCTCAGAGCCCGTGCCTGCACAGGTGGGTGCCCTGGTGCGATGCTGCTCCAGGTCAGTGGCCCCTTCTTCTAGAGTGATGGAGGGCTCTCGGAGGCCGTCTTCCTCCTGCTTCCTCCTCCTCTTGCCTGCCTCCTCTTCAGAGTGTTTGTAGGGTCAGGAGAGCTGGGCTATTCGTCAGCACTGCCACTGGTAAATGTGCAGTGCAGCGGGTTACACGAGCTCGTCTTGACTTATTTGACTGCAAGGAGGAGGTTGCAGGAGGGCGTGTGAACAGGGACCTTGAGAAGAGAAAGCTGTCAGGTTGGTAGGTAGTTGGACACTTGCTCAACTGAAGGGGCCTGCGAGGCTGGCGGTGGTTTTGGGTGTGGAAGGGTCAGCAGTGTCCTGAGGTGATACAGAGGAAGCTGGTTGGATGCTCGTTTCCTACCCGGGAGGATAGGGGTCCTGGGAGGGACTCTGAGGCAGCAGTTCCTCCCGTTCGATGTAGAGGAAGCAAAGGAAAGGTCTGAGGATGTCTAGGAGGTCGCTGGGTGAGGTGGGGTGAGGAAGGAAGGAAGGGACTGTGCAGGGGGAAACATAGTGTAAGTGGCTTCCTTTAAAAATTTTTGCCCATCTTTTTGTGGGAATGGTGACCCTTGTCCTTTACTGGTTGGTTTGCGTATCTTAAAAAAAAAAAAAAAAAAAGACTCATAACGACCCCATAGGGTTTCCAAGGCTGTAAATCTTTACAGAAGCAGACAGCCACATCTTTCTCCCGAGGAGTCGCTGATGGTTTCGAACAGCCTGCCTTTAGGTTAGCCGTCAATCGCTTTAACCACTGCGTCACCAGGGCTCCTTTTGCATATGTTAAAAGGGTGAAAAAGCAAAGAGAGGACAAAACCATTGATTTAAATGAAACTACTGTTGGAGAGTTACAAAAAACAAACAAAAACTACAGCTAGACATTATGTTTTAGAGGGAGCCCTGGGTTTGAGTCAGCGTTGTGTAATCAACAGAGCAGTACATGTGGACATGGCGTGCGTGAGCGCCATTTCTGGGAGAAAAGCACAGGCTGTTCCTGCATCTGGAGGAAGCTGTAGACAGGCTCCACGCCTGCCCACCCTGGCAATGGCCACCTGGCAGCAGCTCCTGGCACAGCTCTGCTCCCCCTCACACATTGTGCCCCTGTCGAGAGAAACACCTGGTGCTGTCCATAACACTGGTGCTTTCTGGTCCCTCAGAGCTGTTCTGAAGGAGTCGGGGTGCTTGCTGATCCCCTGAGGGAAGGAGGGAGGGAGGGGATGAGAAGAGGCAAACCTGCTCACCAGATGAGGACGGCCGGAGGGAAGACGCAAGGGGTCTGGAGGCTGCAGCCCTCCCGTGTGCCCTGGCCTCCCATGCACCCTGGCCTCCCATGCACCCTGGCTTCCCGTGAGCCCTGGCCTCCTGTGTGCCCTGGCCTCCTGTGTGCCCTGGCCTCCTGTGAGCGCTGCCCAAAGGTGCTGGTCCTCAAAGGGTTGAGGGCCTAGCCATGTGGCCCCAGTGGAGCCAGCAGCTTTCCCCTGCTGCTCTCCTGCTGACCCCTGGAGAGTTCTTCTGAGGGTCTGCTCACCAGCAGAGCCTGCACCACGGCCCACTCATGTCACTGCTGCCTTCCCCAGGGTGCTGCTGGGGATTTGGGACCAGGATTAAGTGTGGACGTGAGGTCAGCTGTGAGCAGCTACTTGCTGCTTAGAACTCATCTCTGAGCTCAGATTACTTTGTGATAGGACTTGTACATTAACTTAAACAAGAATCTGAGAGGTAAGCTGTAGTCTGCATTTCACAGATGAGATAACTGAGGACCAAGTGCGGGGTTATAACCCAGCTGCCACCTAGAATAACAGTGAGGCCAAAATTCAGGGTTTGTAGCTGGTGGGCTGCCATGACGGGTCCGTGGGCCAAAGATGAATGAGGAGACACTGAGCAGCTCTTTGAAGTGGGGCGGGTACTTGCTGTGGGCGGGCCATGGGCACTTCCTACAGCAGAGGTGCCTGGGGGTGATGTCAGTGGGGGTGGCAGTCGGCTTCCAGGTGGGGAGGAGAGGTGCCTGAGCTTTGGGAGAGCAGATGGGGCAGAAGAAGGGTGTCTGGGCAGAGGACCGTATTGCCCAAGAAGGTTGCTTGCTGCAGTGTCAGTGACCTTTGTGGAAATGGCAGCTTGTTCTCACCTTGGCGGTCACTAGTAGAAGGACCCACAAAATGCAGCAGAACATTGCTTAGGAATGGCGAGTTGTGGTCTTGGGTGTGGGATGAGGTAGCAGCCAGACAAGAGACGTGGAGGAGGCATGATGGCTGGGCGGCTCCTGACTCATTTGTCCCGGCTTGGGGGCGGAGGACGGTGCAGAGGGATCGAAGAATGCACCTCTCCACACCAGCAGGCTGTGTGGAGGGCCTGTGTGTCCTGCTGATGAAGAACCCTAGGAGGTAGTAGGAGATTGATTGCAAGGAACTGACTTCCGTGATTATGGGATGTCTTAGTTGCCTAGTGCTGCCATAACAAAATACCACAAGTGAGTGGCTGTAAAGAACAGACATTTATTATCTCATAGTTCTGCAGGCTAGAAATCTGAATTCAGGGCATCAGCCATGTCCATTCCTTTGAGGACTCTGACAGAGCACCTGTCCCTGCCTCCCCCAGTGTCTGGTGGCTGCCAGTAGTCCTTGGCGTTGCTGTGCTGCTTGTAGCTGTATCCACATGTGTGATCTCTTGCGTGTGTGGTTCTGTTTCCGTGTCTGTCTCTCTGACTTCCATCATCCCCACCCTCTAAGGCAGTGCTTTGATGCCATCCTTCCCTGCCTCTCTGGTCCTTGCCCCCTCTCACATCTCCTGTTGTTACCTCTTACCCCGTAATCTTTTTGTCTCTCAGCTCTTCCTGACAAACATGCTTGGCACTCCTCTTCCCCAAACGGTCCTCTTTCTTTGACACTCTCGAGTTGAGTCGGCCTCTGAAGGAAGCATTTATATAAACCAGAAGGAGGAGCAGGAAAGTATGGGGGGGAGTGGAGAGCAGGTGAGAGCACATACAATTCCTTAAAGAAGAGATTGCTGAGAGCAAAGCGCAGAGTGAAATGCCATAGCACTTAAGAAACGGGAGATCAGGAGGAAAACCGCGAGTAGACACCATTGATTTTTCGTGTCTCAGCACGCTGTGCAAGAGCCGCAGGTGCAGCAAAACTTGAGCCAAGCTTCAGGGGTAAGTTGCTTAGTCCGTTCCAGGCCATTACCTCCACGTGAGCGTTTTTTCTTTGCCAGCCTCGTGGAGGATGTCGTGCCAAGGTTTCCTGGCTCCAGAGGACCACAGCCTACCAGACAAAGACTTGCTTGTGTTAGATGGAACGACTAGGGCATCTCAAACCTTAACCAGGCTGCTGAGCTATACACCGGGCGGCAGCTTGCGACAGCCCTTGTTCACCAAGGACCCCTTTAAATCAAGCCCTGTTTCCTTTAAGTGGGTTATCCTGTACCCTAAGATTGTTCCTGGTTTAGGGAAAGTCGCCTCAGATCCTTTTAACATAATCTGAAAGAAATAATAAGCTTTAAATCCTTTCCTTCAACTTTGCAAGTTCTTTTTTGTTACGTTGTGTGTGTGCGCGTGTTTGCTTTACATTAGAAAGAATACCTTTATGATTTGTTCTCTTATTTCACAGTGAATACATTTAAACTTGTCTCTGTCATTCACAAATAGAAAAACTGTCTTTCTCTCCTTTGCTCAATAGGCAGGTCTGCAGGCTGCTCGCAGACTTGCCTGGGGAGGGAGGGGAAGGTGTTGGATGCTGGCAGTGTGAGTTTATTTAATTTTCTGGTTCCAAGCACTGAGGTCCATTCAGGCCAGGGAGCCTCTGAGGCGGAAGCAGGCTGCTTCATTTGGGTCATTTTAAATGAGATGCTGTTTTTAGGTTACGCATAACGGGCAAAAGCTCCCTCCTTACTCTGCGTTTCTGTCTCTTCTGCAGGTCAGCTCCAGCAGTGTTGTCTTGAAGACGGGATTTGATTTTCTGGACAATTGGTAAAATGAGCTAGACAAGAAAAAAAAAGTAAAACCAAGAACCCCCAAATGTTTTCCAAAGTGGTATGGTGGTGAAGGATAAAAAGGCAACATTTTTGTTGTGTATTTCCCTGATTTCTGTACACTCTTTTCTTAATCATTGGGAAATTGTTAAATATGGTCTTTTCCTTTTTTGGTAAGACCAGATATATATGCCATTTTCAGTGATTTGATAACAGCAGTTTTACATTTGAAATTTTTAAAGACTGTTAGGAACTCAGTCAATATTGTAAATAAAACTCCTGTTCCCAGCTCCACCCAGTTTTCCCCCTCCTCAAAGAGAGAGTTTTCTCAACCATGTCAACAGAAATCATAAACATGATCTCCATCTCCTTCTCTTTTATCCCGCCTTTGATGGATGGGGTTAACTTTGATGGGGTGATTGATATCCTCAGCTATCATGACATCAACGTCCTGGCTGTGACCATGGAAGGATTTGCCCCCAACAATGCTCTCACCGATGCTGCACGTGTCCAGGCGTTCTCCTGCTGAAGCCACACTTTTCATATTGTGTGCCACTCGCCACCCTCACGGCATTTCTCAGATTCAGATGGTTGGCATGTGGTAAAGTTCCTCCTTAACCTGCCCTAATACATATTGAAACTGTTGACCATTGTTTAAAAAAAGTTGCATGTTTAAAAGTTTTGTATTAACTTTTCATTATTTTGTATCTAGATTTAGCAGCCACGGGGCTACCACTTTTCTTGTTTTATACCAATGTCCTTTTGGAAATTCTTTGTTACTTCTGTGACCTGTTGGTTATTCCCATACTGGGCATCGACAGGAGAAAGGGCCAATGGCACGCATTGCTAGAGGAAAGAGCTGGCTTCTGATGAGTTGGGTTTGAACCTTTCAGTGTGAGACTGGCAGGTGGAGGCAATGTCCTTCACAAGGACTGGTCAGCCTGCCCTGTGATGGATCCTCTTCCACCCTGACCACTACCAGAAGTGCAAAAGCAAGTGTCTGCATCGCTCAGTGGCATGCCCCTGGAGACCGGTGGTGTCAAAGTGAAGGTGTCCCTTGGAGCTGGACTTTGCCCCCCACTGTGTTCCTTGCTGCTCCGGTGACCTCTGACTTTGGCTGGAGACTCCAGGGCTGCCCAGTGGAGCAGGTGGACCATGTTCCGAGCAGGAGGGAGTGTGTCCTTCCCTCAGGAAGCTGCCTACTTGGTGTCCCCGACCATTGCACCTGAGCTGCATGGCGTGCAGGAGGTGCTGGGCAGAGCCATTGTCCCCAGTAGAGCATGACTTACACGTCTCCTTTCACTGTGTTCTCACCTGAAGCCTTAATTCCTTTGAGCCCTTGCCAGTGAGCGTTTGGTTTCAATACCACAGTGTGTTTTTTGTTTTTTAATGTTTTTCTGTGTCATAGGACCTTCTACAGTGATTTCCGGAATATTTTACTTGCTCCAAGGTCAAGCATATGGCAACTTTATTTTTTTCAAGGAAAGTTTCTGCCAAAGCTGTGGCTCAGCCAACTTTTGGGTTGGTTCCTGCCAATTGCTTTATGTCCCTTAACCTTGCTTGGCCCCTTGGGGACTCAGGTTTTACATTTCCTCTTTGGCGACTGACTATAATTTGGCAAATACAGGTTCTTTCTGTACTATTTGAGTATAGTTGATACATACAAGGGGCAGGGGGCTTCCCACATTGCGATGAGGGGAAGGGGCTTCGAATCCGAGCTGGAACCACACAAGCAGGATGCTTGCTTCCCTTTTGGGTTGCAGCCTCAGGGATGGGCTTGCAGCCTGCCCTGCCTTCTACTCTCAGCCTCGTGGGCAGCGAGGTATTACATGATCCATCTTAGAATTTGGGCTCTTTTTTTTTTTAAGATGTGTAGATGTGAGCTTATGTTCCTTGGGTGTTTTTGTAGCAGGGAAGAAAGGCTTATGTCCTTGGACAGTTGGTCCAAGATGATCTGTCTGTTCTCTTGGGAGATGATTTTCTTTCCAACTTTCTCATAAATTCCCTTCGAGTTCTCTTTGGAGCTTAGGGGGTGTAAGCATTGTTGAAAGCTTCTGCCATCTAGTACCATCTAGGGCCAGTGTCCACCAGTGTTTAGTTATCTTTCATAATATTTTTTAAAATTTCTTAATAGCAGAGCCTCCCAGGATTAAATGTAAAAATCAGAAAATGGGAAATCAGAGAGAGAGTTCTAAGCATTGTGTTGCTTTGCTCCAGTTTCGGAAGTAATGGAGGTACTGACATCCGAGAGGTAATGAAGGACTGGGGGTCTTGCTCCCAGGCTCTCCATCCCTCCTGACCTGCGGGATCTTCCTCCAAACCCTGGGCAGAGTCTAGGCAAAAGTAGTTTCTTTCCCCTTTCTCTTGGGGATCTATGTTCAGTGTGCCCAAGTAGAGGAAAATTAAGCTCTTACTTTGTCACTTTCTTTTCCGTGTATTAGAAGCTTATATTTGTTGAAAAAAAAAATACACACTTTTCAGCTGAAGCCTGTATGTAGTTTTGGAACCTGCCCTACCCCCAACCCACTCTTTGCACCTGAGATTCAGAGCACTGCTTTGGATGACTGCATGTTACAAAACCTCCCCAAGGAGATGAGAAACCAGTCTCTGTTCTTTCACCGGGGGACCCATCCCCTACCTCTGGGTCTCAGAGGTGGCCCTCATTCGGAGCAGCTATGGTCACCCTGCCCACCTCTGACCCTTGGATGTCAGAGCAGCTACCCCTAAGGTTGAATGCACCACCCTTTCTTTGATACACATTTTCAAAAACTATAAATTCTTACTGACAACTTGTAACTTGGTCATATTTTATATTAATAACCTTTAATAAAGCCATTTAAAATACGCTGGTTGTGTATATTTCAGGCTTCTGCTGGAATCAGGAAGCCTGGTGAGAACACATGAAAGAAAAAAAGGATTAATACTAGTTAAAGCTAGCTTGATACCTCTTCAGAAAGCCCATTTTACACTGTTTTGATGGAGGAGTCCCCTGGTAGGGAGTGGGGAGGCTCTGTCCTGGAGGACTTATGGACAGAAGGGGGCTTCTGTCCCGGAGGGCTTATAGACAGAAGGGGGCTCTGTCCCGGAGGGCTTATAGACAGAAGGGGGGCTCTGTCCCGGAGGGCTTATAGACAGAAGGGGGGCTCTGTCCTGGAGGGCTTATAGACAGAAGTGGGGCTCTGTCCCGGAGGACCTATGGACAGAAGGGGGTCTCTGTCCCGGAGGGCTTATAGACAGAAGGGGGGGGCTCTGTTCCAGAGGGCTTATAGACAGAAGGGGAACTCTGTCCCAGAGGACTTATAGACAGAACGGGGGCCCTATCCCAGAAGGCTTTTAGACAGAAGTGGGGCTCTGTCCTGGAGGACTTATGGACAGAAGGGGGCCTCTGTCCCGGAGGGCTTATAGGCAGAAGGGGGGCTCTGTCCTGGAGGAGTTGTAGACGGAAGGGGACTCTGTCCCTGAGGGCTTTCCAGTGAAATCGAAGCTTTGGTAAGTCTTCCCGAAGACTCAGCAGAGCAAATGCATCTCCCTGAATGTTTTCAGGTTGTGTCTGGTTGCCCTGGTTGAAGCTGAGTTTTAGAAGAAACAAAAAATTAAGCCAGCCCATCAGTGCTACTCCATTCGTTACAGTGCAGGGGTTAAGTTACCAACTGTAGATTAAGGACAATTTTCAGATGCCAATTTTCCATATCAAATAAATTTTTAAAACTAATATCCCTCAGGGAAATGGTGCTTCCAGTTAACAGACTTACAACTTGTGCCTCTGGGACCAGAGATTTCTGGGTGAGCAAGTTATTTTACTGTCTTACGTATTGATATGGAGTATTTGTGATCAGGTTTGTGGGCCATCAAGAGTTGGATTATTTCAGCTACAAATTATGGGAGGAGGCAGAATAGCTCCCAAGCAGCCTTTAAGGTAGCTTATTATGCAAATACACATAAGTGTTTTTATACAAGAGGGAGCCATCAAAATATATCTAGATTTATTCAGCACGTTGCAGCCAGGGAAGGAAGATGCTGAATCTGGGGGACAAAAATGTTCTTTGTTGTAGGTTAGGGGTATTCACAGGGCTTTACCAGCAGTTTCTTTGGTCTGATCTCGTGCTGTATGACTCTTCTGTTGAATTTATCAGCTTTCCAGGTGCTTTCATACCAAGAGGGGGGAACTTTATGAGGAAACCAGGGTGGTTCTGAATTTCATCCAAACTCAGGCAGAAAAGAAGAGAGTAATGCAGGATATAAGATCAACTTAACAAAAATCAAGAGCTGCAATACCAACGAGACACTTAAATAAAAAGATACCACTCATAATGGCAAACAGAAATATAAAGTGTCCAGGAATCAACTTTAACAAAGTTTCTTCTTTAAAGAAAACTATAAAAATCAAACAGAGGACTTAGAAAAACCCATTGTTCAGAAGGAGATCTGAATAATCCTGGATGGGACAATTTAATATTATAAAAATGTTAAATCTGCCAAAATCATTTAATGAAGTTAGTGCAACCTCAGTAAAAATTCCCGTTGGATGTTTTGAGACATTGATAAATTTACTCCCAATTGTAAATGGAAGAATTTAAATAGTTTACTAAAGAACCCTGGTGTTTACTAAATAGTTGAATAGTTTATTAAAATAGTTAATAAAGGGGAGGGGACTTACTCTACCAGCTAAGAAGACATGTTATAAGGACATAGAAATACAATGTGTGGGTATTGGTACAATGACAGACAATTAGATCAGTGAAATGGAATGGAGAGCTCACAGACAAACCCAGGCATATATGGGAACTTAAGTTACAATCAATGTGACACCACAGACTGGTGGGGAAAATGAAAGATTCTTTAGTGGATGGATTCTCCCTATATGAAACACAGATTCCTACCCAACACTGCATAGAAGGTGGGTTCTATCTGGATTAAAGACCAATTATGACAGGTAAAAGTGTAAAATTAATAGAGGAATATATCTTGTGACTTAGGACAAGGAATGACTTCTTTAATAAAACTTCAGAAACACAACCATAAAGCAAAATATTAATAAATTTGATTACATGAAAATTTAGGATATCTCTACGGATAGAGTTAATTAGCTGAAAGAATGGGAAGATACTATTTCAATTCCAGTAAAGAGGTATTAAGAACATACAGAGCACTCTTGGAAATCGACAAGAAGAGGCCAGCAACCACAATAGAAGATTAACAGAGAAAATCCTAAAGACTATCAAATATGTAACCAAAAAACCCATTGCTGTCTAGTCTATTCCTACTCATAGTGACCCTATATGTAAAGAGATGCTAAAAATAATTGGTAATCAGAGAAAACAAATCCAAGAACTGGATGATGCCAGATGTTGATAGAGATGGAGTACAGCAGTGGTTCAAAACCTGCAACGTTGCATCTTTCTCTCTCTGACTGGTCTTCCATGTTTCCTGTCTCCCTCTGACTCTCATCTACTTCCCTCTTCCACTTTTAAGGAACCTTATAATTACATTGGGCCTACCTCGATAGTCCAAGCTAATCCCCCCATTTTAAGGTCAGCTCATTATCAACCTTAATTTCATCTGCAACCTTCATTCCCCTTTGCCATATAACATATTCTAAGGTTCCAGGGATTAGGACAGGGGAGGGAGGAGGCCATAATTCTGCCTACCACAGGATGTGTTTATTTGGTTTTGGTGAAAGTATACATAGCCAAAGATACACAATTTAAACAATTTCTACATGTACAATTCAGTGACATTGGTTATGTACTTCAAGTTGTGCTACCACTCTCACTATCCTCTTCCAGATTATTCCACTACCATTATCCTAAGCTCACTGCCCCCTAAGCTTCCCATCCAAACTTTCGAGTTGCCATTGTCAATTTAATCTCACATAGGTAATTCTTTTAAAAAACACAATGCTCAAGGCAGATGTACTTTACTAATTAAGCAATTTTTTTTGGTTCACAGAAGACTTCAGGGGATAGTTTTGGTTTAAGGTTGAAAGTTTAAAGATTATCTCAGGGCAATATTCGAGGGCTCATTGAGCCTCAATGACTCCAGAAAGTCTGGATTCCATTGAGAATTTAAATTCTGTTTCACATTTCCCCCCTTTTAATCAGAATTATTCTGTAGAATCTTTGATCAAAACATTCAGTAATGTTAGCTGGGCACCATCCAGTTCTTCTGGTCTCATGGTAAAGGAGGCAACGAGATACACTTTTGATTTCCTCCTTTGATTTTTGATTCTTCTTCCTCTGTTGCTTCAGCTGAATAGAGACCAATTGTTGTACCTTGGATCGCCGCTTGCTAGCTTTTAAAACCCCAGACAATATGCAAGGAACTAGGAGGGATTGGGATGTCCCTCGAAACCATGACCCTAAAACTACAAACCAAAAACACAAATCCCGTGAAGTGTTTGATTGTGCATAAGCAGCCTCAACAGCTGCTTTTTTTTGGTAAAAAAAATTTATAACACAATATTTACCAATTCAACATTTTTCAGCTGTATAACTTAATTATATCTATTACATTAATCAGTTGTGCAACTGTTACCCTTAATTGATGGCGAATTTCCCATCACCAGAACAAACTCACTGCTTCCCAAACAATGACTCCCCTTCTTTCCTCCCTCACTCCCCCTGGTAACCACTGATAAACTTTGGTCTCTATATATTTACCTGTTTTATATAAGTGAGATCATACAATATTTGTCCTTCTATGATTGAGTTATTTCACTCAGCATGATGTTTTCAACTTTCATCCATGTTGTAGTATTCCATTGTATGTATGCACCACATTTTGCTTATCCATTTGTCCATTGATGGACATTTAGATTGGTTGCACCTTTTCGCTATTGTGAATAGTGCTGCAGTGAACATTGGTGTACATATGTCTGTTCATGTCACTGCCCTCAAGTCCCCTGGGTATATACCTAGGAGTGGGATTGCTGGGTCATATGGTAGTTCTGTTTTTAGTTATTTGAGGAACTGCCACACTGTTTTCCACAACAGTTGTATCATTTTGCATTCGTACCAGCAATGGATAGGGGTTCCAATTTCCCTGCACTCAGAAAGTTTTTAATTACCTGATAAAGTCACCAAAATGTCCCTGAGGAAGGCACATTTAAATCAGGAGAGTAGTTACAAAACAATTGTAATGAATAGTTCAGGTGTCAAGGAATGGCGACTTGGCCTAGATGGGTGGCAATGGAGATGGAGGGAATAAGGTGGATTTAAGAGACATTTAGGAGGCAGCTTGACAGAATGGGCCCACTCTAGGGAGATGGAGTCTATTATCAGCTTGGCCATGGTGGGCTAAGCACAAATGACAGTGGCATTTTTGGTTGGGAAGAAAATGATGTTTGGCCTGGAGATGATCTGATTCTCCTAAATCAAGGTGAGATAAGAAATAGAAACTCTTTTGGCTGGTTTATTAGTCACAAGTACTCACTAAGCCAAACCCAAGTGTCATGTTAGATTTATCCAAAATATTGTTGGTA